AAAAAAAAAAAAAAAAAAAAAAAAAAATGTGTGAGACTCCACGATGCAGGGCTTTAAAGTGCTCTGAAGCTGTGGAACTAGGATGTGCCATGTGAAGGACTGTGGCTCTGTCTTGGCATTTCCGAGCTGTTAGAAGCTGCATTCTTTCAAGGTCACATGTTTGGTTTGACTGAGACCTCAGAAGAGACCTACCACCTGTCACTAAAAGCCGTGCCCCTTGAGAATTCCCAACATGGAATTCTCACTTGTTAATGCCTCATGTGCCAGCCCTCCTTGCCTCTGCTCTTTTCTCCTTTCCTGTGGAACTGCAGCCCAGAGTAAGGTCTCCTCTGGGCCACTGCCCATGACAGGGCCTGGGGAGCAGGTGCTCTGACATGGGCAGACTCAGGCTTGACTCTCAGCCTGGTGTTACGAGCTATAAGAACTTGGGCTTGGTTTTCTCTTCTTTCACCTGCCAGCTCACTGAGCCTCATTCCCTCTGCCTTTGTCAAGAGTCCTGGCCAGGATGGAAGGGGCATCCTCTTCAGTGCACAGTCTCAGTACAACAGTGACCCCTGCTTCTGAGCCCAGGGAGCATCCATGCTTTCCCAGAGCCTGGCTCCCCAGAACTCCCTGAGTTGCCTCATCCAGGGTGGCCGCTTCAGGGTGAGTGGGTCTCGATCATGGCCTCTGTCCCTGGCATGAGGCTCCACTTAAATGGGCAGAGAAATCGAGTTGGGACTCAACACGAAGCTTGGTCTTCAAGGGGGAACAAGCACTTTCAAGTCACATCAAACAGAGGCTGTTATGCTGCTGGGCTTCTGCTCCCTCATCTTTGGAGGAGGCCTAAGCATGTTGGACTTCTCCAACAGCCCCTTGACAGGCCCCAGCCATGAGTGCTCCTCCTGCCCCAACCCACCCCCTGTCCCAACAGGAGGGCTAACAGCAAAAGCTCCCATTTGCTGAGTCTCACTCTGTGCCAGGCACTGTGCTATGCAATTCACTTGCATGTACCTGTGCGGTAGATGCATGACCACCCTAACCCATCCTACAGATGGGGAAGCTGAGGTGGAGTCCCTTGCTCAAGGCCTCACCCAGCAAATGGGGGAGACGGGATGAGCTGATGTGTCCTGTGTCTCTCCTGCTCAGACCCCTGCTGGTCCCATCCCCTCAGGGTTGGAGCCTGGCCCCCAGCCTTCTCTCCAGCGCTGCCCTGCCTGTGCCCTCTGCTCCAGCCTTCCACAGGCTTTCCTCCTGCTGTGCTCCTGATGTTCTGGCATCCTCGTCCCCACTGGGGAAACACGGCTCCTCTTTGAAAGCCAAGGCCCCATCTCTGTCCTCACGACATCTTTTCCAATCCCCCAACTGCCAGCAGCAGTTACCATTTATTGACTGAATTCTGGACTAGCTGTGTGACCTCTGGTGAGCTATGAAGCCCTGTTTCACCACGCTTTCCTCACCTGTAAGTTGGGGTTAGTCACCTGCCTCATGTGTGAGAGGGATAACAATAGGCCCGCCTTGGACTTCTCCAACAGCCCCTTGACAGGCCCCAGCCATGAGTGCTCCTCCTGCCCCAACCCACCCCCTGTCCCAACAGGAGGGCTAACAGCAAAAGCTCCCATTTGCTGAGTCTCACTCTGTGCCAGGCACTGTGCTATGCAATTCACTTGCATGTACCTGTGCGGTAGATGCATGACCACCCTAACCCATCCTACAGATGGGGAAGCTGAGGTGGAGTCCCTTGCTCAAGGCCTCACCCAGCAAATGGGGGAGACGGGATGAGCTGATGTGTCCTGTGTCTCTCCTGCTCAGACCCCTGCTGGTCCCATCCCCTCAGGGTTGGAGCCTGGCCCCCAGCCTTCTCTCCAGCGCTGCCCTGCCTGTGCCCTCTGCTCCAGCCTTCCACAGGCTTTCCTCCTGCTGTGCTCCTGATGTTCTGGCATCCTCGTCCCCACTGGGGAAACACGGCTCCTCTTTGAAAGCCAAGGCCCCATCTCTGTCCTCACGACATCTTTTCCAATCCCCCAACTGCCAGCAGCAGTTACCATTTATTGACTGAATTCTGGACTAGCTGTGTGACCTCTGGTGAGCTATGAAGCCCTGTTTCACCACGCTTTCCTCACCTGTAAGTTGGGGTTAGTCACCTGCCTCATGTGTGAGAGGGATAACAATAGGCCCGCCTTGAGGGGCGGTCGTGAAAGTAAATGAGTTCGTATCTGGGACATTCTGGGCAGCACCTGGCCCCCATTCGGTGCTCACTGCATGTTGGTGGCTTTTGCCATCAGTGTGTCCAGGAGCAGGCTAAGCACTTCCTGGCATTATCCCATCTAATACTCTCAACAATAATCGGAGAAGGCAGGCATTGTGTTTGCCACCATTTTATAACTAAGGAAACTGAGGCCTAGGGAAGTTAAGTAATTTGTAAAACTGAGATTTACACAAGGAGGCCCAATTCCCAAGCTCTCACGTCTTAACCCTGAGGCTACATAAACTCTGTGTGTGTGATGACTCATCTGCCCCTCAGATCCTCGCTCCTAGGTGCTGTACTCCTAGCAGTGCCTCTCGTCTGTATCCCTAGTATTCGGCAGAGCCCGGCATGTATGGGCTCAGAGAACATGTGCATGGCTGAAATGAGTTACACTGGACTGTGCCTGCAGCTTCTATTTCTGGCCAGGGCACCAGGTGAGATCACACGGAGTCAGAACACAGGCGTGCACAGAAGCTCTGCCACTGGCACAGTGCCCTGACTGAGTGTTCAAGCCAGGTGCACTGGCAGGCAGTCCTACACACATTTTTAATTTTGGGATTGCATTCCAATGATCATCTAAAATTATTTTACCAATGATCAAAACTCAATTTCTTTTCTGCAGTGTAATTTAAAACAGATATTTTCATAGACTGAAACTTCAGTTTTCTCAAGTTGGCATTTCTCAACTGTGTTGAGGACAAGTTCCTAGGAGTACATGAATACATGCCCTTGGGGTGGGGGCAGCAGGAACTGAGTGCCAGGGGAGGGGGTTGGAGACTGGCTGTGAGGAGCCCAGGGTTTGCACAGGGGCAGAAGGCTGGGGCATGGCTGGTTGTGCTCTCCCTCAGCCCCTGCGTGGGTTTGTCCATGGCACTTTTTTCACCATTTGCAACCATTTTACTTACTTTTCTCTTTCCTTTGTATTCTTGCTATCTCTCCCACGGGGCTTTAAGCTCCATGAGGGTGGGGACCCTGTCTTGTTTCGTTTTGTATCCCCAACACTGTGCCTGATGTGGAGTAGGTACTTGATAATTACTGAGTCAATGAATAAACCTGGGCAAAGTAACTAACTTCTCTGAGCCTGTTTCCTCCACTGAGAAGATGAGAAGGTAATGCCTACCTCATAGGGTGATAAGAGTGAAATTACATTTTGGACCTGAATTACCTGGCCCCATGCATGGTTCAGAGAAGACACGGCAAAAAGCCCACCCTGTACCCTCTTCACCTCTTCAGCCACATCAGCTTATTGAAGAGATATTCCCTATAAATATGTCTCATTTTAAGCAAATCAAATATGTAAAAATTCCACAAAGGATAGACTATAAGGGAGTTATTTGCTCTAGGAAAGATTTAAACAACAAACTACTCTCATGTATTTAAAACGACCCAATTTACCAAAAAAGGAAATTTCATGTAAGCTTTCTGAAATATATTTTACAGAGTGAGGTATTCCTGCATTGCCAGCCACTGTCACCCTCCCCCACTGCAAAACCCCCAAGGGCAGCTGGATAAAGATTAGAGACTGAAGCTCGGCCCTCAACTGGGAAGGAAGACAACCGAACCTGTAAAGCAGGACACATTTACTCTTCTCCCCTTTCCAGTCTCTTGAGGGCCACGAGTGCTTCCCGTTCACGTGCTTTTGGTATGTGACAACCTACAGAACACAAAGCTCCAGCAAAGGACAAACAGGCTTTTGTGCCCTGCTCCTGGTCTGTGGAGGGCTGGGTGGGCCAGAAAGGCCTGATGACATACTTCTCAAAGCCAGGCCAGCAGGCAGGACAGGGCCCTGCCCCGGCAGATTCTCGCCCGGCTCTGGAGCTGAGGGGAGTCACTTACCAGGACCGCCATCTGCACAATGTCGGGCTGCTGAAGGAACTGTGGGTCCACAGCTGGCCACGTCTGAAGAAGCACTCCGGCGTCCCAGGCGTAGTGGGCACACAGCTTCCTTGGCACCAGCGCCAGGCCTGCAGTGCCAAGGCACAGAAGGGGAGGCTCATGAGACGATATGGCCCGGTGGGGAGCAGTCCGAGGGTATGGGAAGCCACACCGCAGCTTCTCACAGCCTGCAAGGGGCTCACTGCTTGCTTTGGCCTGGCTTCTCATCCCAGGTTTATAGGTAGCTCTTTTTTTTTTTTTTTTTTTTTTTTTTTCAAA